CAAAAAGCAACATGCTTTGTTTTTACTTTCATTTTATTACAGGTTTTCTTTACTCAAAGGATTTTGAATACAATCTGCCTGTAAAGACGAACACTTTCTGCTGCATTTAAGGTATGTGTATATATGCAATCAAAGTTGCATCTTGAATTTGTATTCACGCAATTCAGGTAACATTAACTTGGTTAATGTTACTGCAAAGAAATGTGTAGCCATAGCAGCAGAAAATTTGATGCAGGCTGCAAAACCTTACTGAAAAATTAGTGAATAATGCAGCTTTCTGTGCTGCAGTGAGCTCTGCACTGTCTTGGATATGCTGCTCTGTGTATTTGAACTTAAGTAGCTTGAAATAAACGTGCAAGCTGCAAATATTCCTTGACTGTTGTTGTAAATAATTGATAAACTCAGATCAGCCATAGCTATTAGCTGCTTGAAATAATGTTCTAATGTGCAAAATCCCAATCATTGAAAATTAAGTGCTTTCTTCTGCTTCCTAAAAAAATAAAAGAGGTCCTCTATTAGTACAACATTAAAACTATACCGATATTCTACTTGTGTCATACAGTGCTCTGAATGGGAATTACAGCAAAAGAGTACACCATAATATCTCATGTAGTCTATGGCCCTTTGCAGTTAAAGCAAACTGTAACCTTTACAGGTAGTTTTGTACAGAGATGTATATAGTTGTTAATTTAAAAATATAAAGCACTGTGAATGGGAACAAAACATACCAATCTTATCTATGTCAATTAAAATCTAGTGTATATTATTTGCATTCTAAAGGTGTTAGAACGTTTCCAAGATTCAGCAATTCCAAATGTATATTATTCATGTTAGTTATGCAGCAAGACTTTTTCTCCACAAGAAATAATCTGACTCGATGGGCCCTGTCACAAGCATTAACAATACAATTGGTAATTCTGATCACAAAAATAGAGCAGATTTAAACTTGACAAAACCTACATACCATGTTAGAAAGAGGTTATCTATTCAATAAAAGAAGAGTAGGACTGAAAATAAAATATCACACCTAATAGGCTACCCTGGGATGTAGCATGAGAACCACTACCCCTTTGTAATCAGAAGTATCAGCTGAACACTACCAGAGCTTTCTGAGGAGCTCAACAGATCATGAAGAGAAAAATGGCCCACCAATACCTAGCATTTCATTAAATTTACTGTTCTTCGTTTTTTCTTAAGCAGTCCATTTAGTTAAAGGAAACTCTAAGGCATGGAGCCACTGATCTCTAGTTTCCTGTCCCGGTTTCACATGTGATACAGTTAATTTTCTTCCCAGTAGCTTGTACAGTGCTCTGTTTTGCACTGAGTATAAGAACGATGAAAGAAAATTCAGGGAGAAAAAAACTCTGAGACAATTTAGTTTCGAAGGTGAGATAAAGAAAGGGTTTTAATTAGTGCCTCTGAGACATAAGACTACAAGATGCACGCACCCCCGTGTCTCAGATGTTACAATTTATAATACTGCTTGTCCAATCCGAGGTTTTCCCACACTGTGGCTTTTGCCCTGGACCACCCTCAGTCACACCCCTTGGGAACTGGGGCTGGGGTCTCTAAGACCACCTCTTCATCAATCTTCACCTTCTTTGGGGTACAGGGGGCATATATTCACCCAGTTCTTGACTGTACTCTTGCGGTTTAGGCCAAGGTACAAGCATTCTCCAAACAGAACAGGCCTATCTTAAAGAGAGATTAAACATTTCTACTGGAATTCAGGGGGTAGAATTGATATGGGGAGAATGGAATGGGGTAATAGGGTTGAAAATATATGTTGCTTCTGTGCTAAGGGTAAGGGAATAAAGGCTGCTGCTTCTAAATCTACTTCTGCTATGTAACTACTTACAAAGCTTATAAAAATTAGAAAAATCAAAAAACTAGATGGACCTTAAGGCATCAACATTGATAACTCACTGATGTTTCAGTTGTTGCTCAGGAGAGTTTACTCTAAGTCAAGGACTTTTCAGGTTCCCATGCTCTGCCAATGAGCGCGGCACAAGAAGCTGGCAGTGAGCATAGCCAGGTGTGGTGATTTGGGCTAGGCCTTCCTTGGTGACCAGTTTGTAACAAAGGAAGGGTCCAGATTTACCCAGTATTCCCTACGATTTTTACGTAAGCCAGACTATAAGAATAAAGGAGGAGAGGCGCATCACTTTTTTCTCTTGTGTTTTATTCCTCTTCTTCCCTCTTCTTTTCATTACTATTACTTATTTGAATTATTAAATTGTTCTTTTCTCAATCCTTTGGTTTTACCTTTTTCCAATTCTCCTCCCCATCCCACCAGAGAGGATAGAGCGATTGGCTGCGTGGTACTTAGTTGCCTGCTGGGGTTATAACACCATCTATGCTTGGGTCTGATTTGGAGTCCACTTTTTAAGGGAAATATCTTTAAACACTGAGCCAGAATTTATTAATTTGGTTTGTTTGTGTTTTGAAGCAGAGGAGATTAGTTAGAATTTGATGGCATTTCCCCAAAAGAGATTGCTACACTCTGAACAATTCAGATGACAGACATTTCAAGTCATGGCTTGTAATTCTTTTAGACTATATGATGAATCCTAGGTATGAATCTGTAGTGTGCACTAGTAAAGTATATCTACTATAAGTGGATCTGTTAGTCTCAGAGGAACAAACAGTAACCAAACCAGTTACCAGTTAGCCCAAACAGCCAAAAGCAGTACAGAAGCAAAGAAGGAAAGTGCTTGAATTGCTGTTGCTTAAGGACTTTCAGCAATCTCCGCATATTTTAATCTCAGAGTAAGTCAGTGGCTTTTTTTCATGATAGAAATTTAGCATCCATTTGAAGTTCTAGGCTGGGAAAAACACAGCAAATTGACAAAAGACCAAGTCAATATTTCTGTCTAATAACATATCCTAATTTTTCTGAGGTGAGCTGAAATCCCAGACTTCTTGCTTACAGTGTCTGTGTAATAAACCATTATATATAGTATTGATCACTTATTATACACATATAGATAGAAAGAATAGGTTATTTCATACGTATCTATATCAGATATGAAGTGCAAGAAAAAATTATATAGAGATAATACTGAAAAGTCCCTGATATCATACATTGCTCAACTCAGAAACAGAAAATTTTATCATTATAATTCTTGCCTTGACTGGTCACATCATTAACTTCAGTAACGTTATTACTTACATTATTATTATTATCCAAAAATTTACTTTGACACTTGGGGTGTAGTATTCATTCCAGACAGTATGTAACATTAATGACCATATATTTCTATTAAAATGCAAAAGAAAGGCCTTGATAAATGAACTCACCATAATCTACATCAGGTTTAGTCCTCTGTTTGGGTCAACACAGGAAGATGTAACATAGATATTGTGACAAGAGTCAGGAAACATTGACAGATATGTTGACAAGTGTCAACATACTAATGATTTCCTTAAAAACAAGCTCAGAGTTGTACTGCCCTGTTCCTGAACTAACAGGACAGGTGAAAGAAAATCTGTATTAATTTTGAAATGTCTTGGAATTAGATAAAATACTCTATGCAAAAACTGACTTTGGTAAAAAAATCAAAAAATCCAAAAGTATACTTTTACTCTTCTCTCCAAATCAAATATCTGGACTTCCGACTTTAGCACCAAATTATACCCATCTGAAGCACAAATCAGCTCATGGGTCAGACTAAGATTTTGCAGCATTAAAATCTTGGGAGGGGGGTGGTGTTAGTTTTTGGTTTTTTGATTTTTAATTTGAAACATAAAACATGGCCATAATGTTTTTCCAAAGGAAGTTAGTTTGAAGACTGGAAACTATACTGTCTGTCCAGACAGCTAGCTAGATGGAAGGTGTTGATAAGAAGAAATATATAATATAATTGTTCTTACAAGCAGAAACACTTACAGGACAAATTCAGATGTGCTCTGTAGTCATTATTCAACTATCAATATGTTATGTGCTAGACAAGTACCTGTCAAATATACTTGATTCCTCTTTGATCAAATTCCTTTAAGTGAATAAATTACCTTTAAACTGCCATTCCAGCTCTGTTTTCTTCAATTTTGTGTTTAATAAGTTTCCCGGGTTTTTTTGGGTTTCGTTGTTTTTTTTTGCTACAGACACTTAAAGAAATAAACACTTAAATGTGAGGTGTAATTAATATAATCAATTTTATGGTATCTGCTTTATAAATCCACAGTGCATTTAAATATCAAAGGATAATGCATTCAAAGGATAATACATTCTACTTTAAAAACTAAGAAAGAATTTTTTTTCCTGTAAGTTTAAATTGAAATTTTTCTTTACATAGGTATATAAACTTCTTCCTGAGACCACTAGTTATGAACCACTGAGAACTGTCACTCTGGACTCTTTAAGCACATAGTTAATATAATAATATTCTGTTGACTATCTATCAAACAAAGCTAACAAGCATGCACACCTTCATTGTAACTTGTCACGTATGAGCAAGTTCTACTGCCTATTGTGAGATAGTTTAGGAGCTTAAGAATAAACATTTACTATTATTTTGTTGATACAGCATCCCTTTTGAATTATACTGGTAAACGATGGCTTATACCACTCCAACTATAGTATCAAGAAAACCAAGACAAACAAACACAGAACGAATGCAAAAAGTTCTCCAATTTGGTATATACTATAAACACTTAGTAATATTTAAAATATTTGTCATCTCTGTTTTTTATTACACTTCCATAATCCCTTAAAAAATCCTTGCATAATTCTTAGGGATTATAAAAGTACTACATTTAAAAACATAATCAAATTTTAAATTAATAAATCCCCCACAAAAGATAGAAGAGCTTTGCAAAGCAATCAGTAAGTATAGTTTCAGTATGTAATATTCAAATGATTTTTAATAAGCAAGTTCCAATATGGTTAAGTACTCCATTAATGTACAAAACTGAAAAAACCCACAGCAGTCTTGAAAGCACAGATCAACTACAGAAGCTAAGCTAAGAAGTGCATGCAATTCAAGAATATGGTTCATTACCATGGTTACAAGCTTTCAGAACAGGTCGCTGTGTGGTTGGGCTGAGATTCTGTGGTATGTCTGCAAAAGCAAGGAAACAATGGAAATAAAACACCTCTTTGAAATCTACTGGAGTATTGTAACAGTACTAAGCAGAACCAATTAGAAATCAGGTATTTCTAGGAATAAATGACAGTTATATACCAGAGAAATAATTTGACTCACTTATGGAGCAAGACAACTTTTAATTCCCCCATACAACTATAAACCCTAAAAAGCTAAAGTGCATGTGGCTGTATTGAAAAGTCTTGTCACAATGATCAGGTTAATAAGTTCAGTACATTCATTTTCAGTGTTACTGACACCAGCAACAGTAACATCCCTGAAACATCCCTGAAAACTGGCATTGCAAGAAAGAATTAAACCCAACAGTATTTAAATTCTAGAGCACTGGACCCATAGTGCTTTTAAGTTTCTCTGGAAAATAAAATCTAAGATAGACTATTCACCTTTAGACCTTGGTGTCCTTTTCCTTCGGTCTCGAAAAGCTGCACCTGATTGCAAGGCCTCCAACAGGCTATCCATCACTCCAGTCTCCTCACCTTCTGTAATGGAGAGAGAAGGAACCCTCTGGGTTACCATAGCAATATCGAAGCATAAAGAGTAATAACAATAAAAAGCAACAATAACAGGTAGCAATGGTATTATAGAAAATATTTATTTCAAACTTCAACTAGTGTTTTAATATTGACAAATTGCTCTCTTGCAATTAATCACAACAGATTTGATCTTCTATAGATTGAACTACGCCAAATTTTATTCCATTCATTTCACATTCTTCTTTCTCTATACTCAGAGTCAAGTATAGTTTTAAGAGAAATGTCATTTCACTCATATTTTCATTTCACTGACTTTATACAACTGCAAATAATGTCTGATGTTAGCTTTCAAGAGCTGTCCCTTAAATGATTTGCTACATTAGACAAAAGATCATTTCAGTTATTGTTATAAAGAGTTGAAATTGTTTCTCAGCAGGAAGCTGAGTGAACAATATTGGACTGGATAGTATACAGTGATATCCATAGGTAGCTTTAATCAAAAGCCATTTTCTGCTCACATTTAATAACCTCTGGTTGATATTAAATAATGGATGTAGTTCAGAAAAATTCTACTCATCAAATTACACAAGTATCATGTGTAATAATACACACATCTATAATAATTCCCAAAAGAATTATGAATATTATTGTGAGATGGTAACCAAATGCAAGCATTAAACACCCTCTTTTTATTTCCTCAAATAAACACATCAGAAAATGTTAGCTTTTTGAACTTGTTACCCTGTTGTATGTATGCATGGGAGGACAAAGAACAGAACTCCAGGGATTGACTATATGATGAAAAATCTCCATAGAGGAATAAAGAATTACATAATAGAAATCTCATTATGCCCCACTGGGCAAAACTCCCTAAGTCAAGGAGTTGGCCACATCACATGATTCTGCAGTTATTGTTAATAGTGAATTATGCGAATCAGGATCTAAACTACCTGGTATATACAACAAGATGCTGAGTAGAGAGGGACAATCACTTTCCTAGTACTGCCAGTCACAATATTTCTGATATAAACCATTGGCCTTCTTGGTCACCTGGGCAATACTGCTGGCTCATGTTCATCTGGCTGTTGATCAGCACTCCCATGTCCTTTTCCGACGGGCAGCATTGCAGCCACTCTGCCCCCAGCCTGTAGCACTGCAGGGGGCTGTTGTGACCAAAGTGCAGGATCTGGCACTTGGCCTTACTGAACCTCATACAACTGGCCCCAGCCCACTGATCCAGCCTGCCCAGATCCCTCTGCAGAGCATTCCTACCCTCCAGCAGATCAACACTGTCGCCCAACTTGGTGTAATCTGCAAACTGACTCGATTCCTTCATCCAGATCATTCACTGATGAAGATAACAAACAGGACTGGCCCCAACACTGAGCCCTGGGAACACCACTAGTGCCCGGCCTGCAAATGGATGTAACTATTCACCACCACTGTTTGGGCACAGGCATCCAGCCAGTTTTTTACCCAGAGAACAGTAACCCTTAGTTCTTCTCTTTTCTTTATATTCTGTACTACCAGACTAGTTTTCAACCTTACACAAAAGAGCCATACACAAAAACAAAAGTGAAAAACAGCAGATATTTCATAATTTTGCCTAACATTTATATATCTGGCAGGTGTAGAATAAACATGAAGGCTGAAATATAGTTTGGTTTTTTTTATTCTGCTTTGTGTTTGGTATAACATGCTTTATAAGGTTGAAGTTTGCCCTCTTATGACTAATGGACTATCACAGTTATTAGTATAGTTTGGAATGCACCTTACCAAAAAAAAAAAAAAATATCACTCAGACTGCCTTCAGCTTCCTATTTGTTTGTTTGGGGTGGGTTTTTCATTGTTGCAGTTTTTTTCTTGTTGGTTTGTTGGGGATTTTTCTGTTTCTTTTTTTAACTTTCCTTTTTCAATCTGATGTCATGCAATTCTCTAAAATACTAATGTCTGGAATGAAAACACTCAGTGAATAGTTTCAAACCAAAGCGATGCTGGACAAAATTTTGAGACCAAGCCATTAGTTACATTAAGGTCATGAATGCTGGAGGAAAGTTTATAAGCATTTTGGGTTATAGCAATTCAAAAAAGATTGAATAGTATCACGGTCTCCAAAATGATACCATTAATGTTTATGGAAAAGAGTTTCCAAGCTTTGTTTTAGGAAGGAGGAATAACAGGAGAAAATTTTCAATCCTATTTCAGTATGTCATCTCTTTCCTTTCAAGCCTGTCCAAGACTACTACGGATTTCATAGTTGTTTTAAAAACTTAACTATCTCCAGTAGAAAAAGAAATCCTGGTGTATAATCTGCTATACTGTAAAAAGGCTCATCAAATAAATAAAAAAAATATTTAAAATAATGGAAGAGAAATGTTGCAAAACCACAATTTATTGTAGCATAGCTGTAACATATTTATGGGTACTATCTGGTTTTCATACTTATCTGAAATATACTGTAGTCACAAAGTGGATTATAGATTAGTGCTTCCATTGACATGCAAAATAGTTCACAGAAGAAAAAATGAGTAGATTGAAACTTGAATTAAAAAACTCTGGTAGTTTTCCTGTATACATGGATGTATTGAAAAAAGCTAACCACTGCAAATAAAAGCATTCATAGTTAATACTCTTTGTGCCCAAAACATGTAGAAAGCCTGTTTTTCAAACTCCTACAACTTCAGTAGGTTCCAAATTCTCTTTTTACATGCCTGCATCAGCAGCTGACTTTGACACTTTCTATCAAGTTATGCAGTTAGCTATTAGTACCCACACTATAATATATAGTTCATATAATAAGAAGATTAAGAAATGAAAGTCTACCACGAATATTTTAGAAATCTTTTAAATTGCCATGGAAAAGTTGCATACAACATTGTTACAGTGATAGCATAAGAGTCACAAATATTGTTCAATATTGACACTTCCTATGGGACCTTTAAATCAGCTTTCACAAGCTGCTGGAGGCTGCTGTCACCAGTCCCAACTGGCTTCCTAATTAGTCAAGTGTATCAATCTTTTGATATCATAGAACTAGTAATTCTAGTTGTCTTGCAGATAGCTACATAGCCAACAGTAATTCCTTTGAGGAAATGTACCCTTTTATGATTTAAATGATCTCTTTTCCTTCAATTGTAGAATGGGAGATTTAAATACTTTTTAATATCATACCTAATTAAACCCCATACAACTGTCTTTTAAATACCATCTAAGGGAGAAGTAAACTTCCCAAAGTAGATGGTAAGTTTTGCCCTTGACATTTCAGTGCCAAGTCAGATATAAACTACCTAATTTCATAATTACGTCTTGAAAAATGTTAAGAATATTAAAGACCCTTCTCCTCTTGTGCATTGAGTATCATAAGCTTTACATGTACAACTATAATGTCTTATAATGATAGCAGCAGATATTGCAGTTAGTAATGACACCTGTATTTTATGTACTTCTTAAGAAACAAATTATATATACCATAATTCCAGGAGCAGTAGTCCACTGACATGATAGAGTCACAAATATCATTAGCAATATGATTTAAAAAAAAAAAAAGAGTGCTGCAGCAAGATAATTTTGAATGAAAAAATTTTCATTTTTACAGTTTCCCTGAACCTGTCCAATATAAACTAAAGCATCACACAACACTAGGAGTCCAAAAGTTCACTTTACTAGGAGAAAAACACAAAATAATATGTCTATTTCCTCTTTCACAGAATCAAAGCTTTATTCAGCTACTCCTCTCACAAAAGAAAATACTGAGGTGTTTCAGAAAAACCAAACCAGGGATTCTTTAGCATGGTTTCGGTTGATGTTGCCTACTCAGTCTGTACACTTAAGAGATTTATCTACAAGAACTTTAACTACTATCTTCCACCAGCCTCTGTTTCTGGCATTGCAATTACATACAGTTTTTTGTTACATGGTAACGAAAAGGATCATCTCCTACAGATGAACAGCCTTATCTAAAAATAACACTGCACAATTTGGACAAATTAAAAAGAGACCTTACAGATTTCATAGCTGTAACAAAAGGAAAAAGTTGCAAAAGCCCAAGGGCTACTCCTGAAGTCATTCAGAGTAGCAAAGACTTTAATTATCTTTGTTTCATTTTTGACATAACTGTGTGGCGGCACTCAAGTTTTTATATAATTTAATAACAAACTTGGACTGCTGAAGCTATTGGATTTGTTTTCCTTGTCTGAAGATTTAAGTCCTGATCTCTCAATTCAGCAAGTACCAGAATTAGTACTTTTTTATTCTTGTTTGCTAGAATACAAACTACTTTTTTTTCCCTCTTCAGCTCAGGACAACATTCAGGTTGGATATACTGCATCCAGTATACTGAAGTGAAATGTAAGCCCTTTGCGGCCTTCTCCTAGGTTTAGTTACATCATGTCTTGTGCATTAATGTTCAAAAATTTCAGAGGCACATGATTACCAAACTTGGGACAATGACAGCAGAGATTTTTCCAGACTATTATTCACACAAGGAAGGAAAAAAAGAAAGATATATATTTTACTTTTTTAATGTTGTATCTTTACTTTCAAGACATCATGGAAGTCTTTTATGTTTGTTTGTATAAGGACTGATTTCAATTAGTACAGCCTACAAAGCAATGCTCAGCTGAAGATAGAAGATCTCCATCTGAGTAAAAACTGAAGGACCATTCTCTAAACAATGTCACATTAACCATGCTGTAATGTTGAATGGGCTAGGCTTCAGGAAGCAGAACAGCAGATCACAGAGAGGAAGATAATTCAAGCCCTCAATGCAGTGGTGAGCTCCAATGTTTTGGATGTGGTTTCATCTTTTCAGTCAGAGCCTAAGGCAGCCAGATTTTGTGAAGTATTCATAGTGCAGACATGTAACAACTTCTAGACCTTGCAGCCTTACATATGAACAGGGCAGGACAATTTCTGAAGGCTTTTACATTGTAAACATAAAAATAAAAAGCAATCTTAATGCTTCAAAATGTTCAGCAATGACGACCTAAACTTAGACTCTTCACTTC